AATAAATAACTCGTCCTTTTCGCAGCACAACCAATATTTTCACACCCTCACCTAGGCCATTTCTCTTCCATCCATCTCTGAGCTGCACTGTGCTAGACAGAAACTAGACAGGGAATAATGCCAGAGCAGATCAAAGGCCATGAAGGCTGCATCCGCACTGCAGAAATAACCCAGTCTGACACCGCTTGAACTGTCATGGCTCAGTGCTATGGAATTCTGGGAAATGGGGTTTGTTGTGGCACCAGAGCTCTCTCTGACAGAGAAGGCTCATTGTCTCACAAAACTCCAAATCTGATTCCATACCATGGAGCCAGGCAGTTAAATGGGTGTCAAACTGGTTCATTTCTGCAGTGAGGATGCAGCCTAAGTCTGGTGCAGCTGTTGAAGAATCCTGTGGTGCTTGAATGACTACAACCATAACTGCACCATCTTGCCTGATTTAGAAAGTGCCTCTCAGCAAATGCATGATGGGACATGTTATCCAAGTCTACTTTTTTTTTGAGATGAATGGGACTTATTTCCAAGGAAGGGGGACTTTGTGTGTTGTTCTTATGTGCCTTCAAGTCATTCTCCAACTTATGGCGACCCTATCACTGGGTTTTTTGTGGGTTTTTCTGTTGACAAGGTTCTTCAGAAGGGGGTTTGCCCTTGCTATCCTCTGAGGCTGAGAGAATGTGACTTACTTAAGCTCACTGAATGGGTTTCCATGGCAGACTGAGGATTCGAACCCTGGTCTCCAGAGTCATAGTCCAATGCTCAAGCCACTAGGCCAGGCTGACTAGATTGTTTCTGGTCTGGTCCATCTCCATATTCAAAATGGGTTTAATCTCCCTGTTAAGCTTTGGTTGATTAAGGCTGCATCTGCACTGCAGAAATGATACAGTTTGGCACCACTTTAACTGGCACGGCTCAATGTGCTGGGATCGTGGGATTTATAGTTTGTTGTGGCACCAGAGCTCTCAGACAGAGAAGGCTAAGCATCTCACAGATGTCCATAAAATCTCCATAACACTGAACCATGGTAGTTAAAGCGGTGCCAAACTGCATGACTTCTCCTGTGCAGATGCAGCCTAAGTGATGAATTCATGAGTGTAGAATGAAAGGGTAGTAGCCAAAATCTTGCATCCTGTTGGTTAGCCCACTCTAAAGTAGACCCATTGATCCAATAGTATTGATCTGGTATTGATCCTAGAGCCAGCCTGA